ACGGCGGTACCTATTCCCATGTCCATCCTGCCCCTGAATTAAGTCTGTCATGTGGGGAGGGCGTAGTCGATCCGTTTGGCTCTTAATGTCATCGCGGCCTTCTTTTTTCCAATGGAACTCAGCGGTTTAACGAAGGTCCGACAACTCACGCACATGTCACAATTGTGCCCGCATTGTGGGACGGGCAATGGGCAATGTTGCTTGTGTGGTTTAATTATCGGACAGTAGCCTAGTACATGTACTTCCGTGCTTGTGTAAGTGGTCAATCCGTGTTGGGTCTTTAGGTGATCCCAATCGATTATACCCTTAGACTGTTTCCTTTTTTCGGTGTGGTACTTTTTCACTTGCGCACATGCATCTCCCTGTTCCTTATGGTTCCACTTAAGTACTTTCCAATGTCAAAATCTTGTATTTTTCAAAGTCTTCTTCAAGCTTCGGTGTACGTGCTTTTCTGACGCCTATAGGCGGCTGGCCCCTCCGCCCGTCCTATCTCTCAAAACAGGGGCCAACATTTATCCAGTCGTCTTATCTGGGCCGAATGACTCCGTCGTATTGTCTAAAGAAGGGTGGCGGTTATTTTTTTCGGAACAGAGCGCAAATTAGTCAAGTGGTTTTTCTGACCCGTCAAAAAGTACCGTCCTACTCTGTACTTGACTGACTGAAAAAAATTATAAGCAATTAATTTTCCCTTAAGAAGAGACCGTCATTCCGTGTAAATCTTCTAAGAGCACTGCCTGGCAGAGGAATAGAGAGGGAATGACACGATATTTCTATTTTATTGAGGAGGAAGACCTGCGCAGTCTCGACCTTACCCTCTGTTTACAGTCTCCATATGCAAATGCCAGTTATCACTTGTAAGCCAGTCACCCAACCCACACACCACTCAAGCTTCGATTATTTAAATTCCGTCGAGGAGAGTTAACCCAAACCCTATAGTGCGAGGAAGAAGTTACTAGCTTTTATTCAACCGTAAGGAGTTGCCCTTTCGACAGATGGTAATCTTCCATTCTACATTTTTTCGGATATCATCACAACGTCCAAGTAAATTGCAGTTGCTGTTGTAAGGAAGGCCTAAGTAGGATTGGAATTTTTTGTCCGTTGCTCGGCTTTTAGTATTGAAACGAATAAGTCAGATCTATAGGAGATGAGACCCAAGGCAATGGAAAACCGGACTTTTTCCTCCTCTTTTCCTACCGTTTGTCGGCCAACGCGAACCAAACTTTACTCGGACACTTGTTCTTTCGTGATAGGTTTGACGCTGCGAAGCTGCCCACGTTAGGAGCCCTGCATATTAATCATCTGGATGTTAGTCTGATCTTGACTACACAAGAAGCGGCAATGATAAACGTCTTATCGCGTCCCCAAAAGATTTTGGTAAAAGGTAATTGGCAAGCACACAGATACTTGCAGGAGATGGTGAAGATTCTTATGCTGCTCAACATCTCTTGCGTCTGCTAACGTTTTGGCGTATTTGACTGATTGAGCGTTCCTGATCTTCAGATGTGTATATATTTGTGGGAAGAATAGTTTTAACTCGGACTGTTTTGTTTCTGCAGCATGAGGCCTTCCAAGACAAACAGGAGCACCTGGTGATCAGCCTTGAAACCGAGAAGCGCATCTGCATGGAGCGCCTCAGGCGTGCCGAGAAACGTGTTGAGAGTCTGGAGAAGGAGTTGCAAAGCCGTCCCGCAAGTAAGTTATTTAGTTTCTCCTCCTTCCGTTGCTTTGTTTACGCGCCCTGAATCGCGCGCGTTCTCGCCCGGCCAGCTTTCGAATGTCCGAAAACCCTGCGAAAATGTGCTTTTTTTAATAATCGCGCATTGCAATTTTTCCATAAATAGGCGTTCAAGATCACGAAGGAGGTGCATGCTTGTATTGAACGCCTCGGATGATGCTGATGAAAATATTGTTTGCTAGTCAGGTTTTTAGGTTTGTATTCCGTGAAACTGTCCATAATTTGTAGTTCAGAACCAAACCTCCTATTGGATTACTCTGATCACTCAGTGACTTTAGTTAGCGATTCTTTTGGACTATCTTTGCGTTCCTTCTTTGCGGTACAACCCCAGGTATGCATGCAGGTACCGTGTCCCACGTGTCTTTATATCTTAACGTCTCCTGTGCCTTTCCTGCATAGACCACTGCTGCCCGTCAAAGCAAGGTAACTTTCCAGTCGGTTGTCTCTGTCAATCCCAAAAATCTGGTTGTCGTCTCCTCACATTGTGTGTTTTATGCGTTGTCCTGCTCGCTCCTTGTCTATTCCTGTGCCCTCGACCATCCCAATGATTTAAGCACCACCGTGTGCATTCGGGCACATCTGATGCTTGAGCAGCCTTTTTGCATGTCCTTGCAACAGGAAAAGAAACTGCATTCATGTGCTGTTTGATGTGGAATCTGCTTGGCAATCTTTACCTCCGCAGCGGCATACTGTCTTTTTTGGTTACACCCTCAATGTAGTTTGTGGGAAAGTACAGCCGTTTCCATTTCCAAATTTGAGGTGATGATAAATTTTTTTTTGTTGAAGAGGCCTTTTAGTTTCCTGTTTTTTTTTTTTCGAAGCAAGATTGTTTCCTGCATGTGTTCAAGACTCTCGAACCAGGCGATCACGCATACTGCCTTGAGACGTTCATGGCACTGCGTGGGAAAATCATAGAAGCCTTAAATCTGGATCACAAAATCATGCGCATGAATATTGTACTATTACCTATGATTAAAGATTCCCGACGGAATCCGAAACGTCAGGACAATAAAACTCTTGTTCTAGCGGTCGCATCTCCTTCTTCTGAACTGCTTCCTAGAACTCGCATATTCACCTTTATTGAAAATAGGTAAATCCCTGAATGTAAGAGTGAACACGTGAGGTAAATTTTAAAGTTAGTCATTGATTACCGTTTTGATCAACTCCCTATGACGTGCACTGCATTCATACACACGATTCTGTTTACTAATTGGCGGTTTACTTTAATCTGCTGGAAGAAGAAATGTTTAAGTGAGTCTAGTCAGGAGTACTCCCTGCTGAACTTCAGTAAACTGACTTGAAGGAGGGTGCTTGTTTGAGTTTGTTGGGGAGGTGGGTAAATCCTGCTCAGTACAGTAGTCGCCGGTTATTAAGTCCACGGCTAATAAGCCCAGCCGCGTA